GCATGGAGCTCAACGAGAGGCAGCACCGGGGCCGTCCGAGAACAGGATGATGTATTTGAGGGTCTGCCAGCAGTGGGGAGGTTTGGGAGCCTTCTCTGAGCCCTGACTTGACTACGTTCCTTTTCAGAGCAACACAACCCATTCATCATTGATTGGAGATGATAACTATGAAAGAGCCCTTCCTTCTTGCCATCGGTAATGAAAGTGGTTGTTTACGGCTTTGGGGTTAGCTGGGGACTTTTTAGAGGGATTCTGCTGGGAAACAAGAGAAAAAAGAGTCAGAACAAGCAGCACATAAAATTCCTCTTTCTGCAGCTTCAGAAGGGTTTTTTCTTTTGGTGGGAACAGAGTGATAACCTCGGTTTGAGAGTCCTTATAATAAATAAATGGGTAAAGGAGCTCCCGGGCCCTGCCAAGCCCCGGTGGGAACAGGCCCTAGGAGGAATTAACCGGGAAGTCGCTGCCGGCTTTATCCAAAGCCTGTTGAACTGAGTGAGCACCTTCCGGGCGAACTGGCGTCTGTGGGAACCTCAGCCTCCCTTGGCACTGCTTAAATCACCGGGACACGGCGAGGTGTTAATGAACATGTTATCAGTAGTTATACCTGCTGCTCTGCTGCTGAGCTCCCATTCAATCGAAAAGTTCAGAGGGTCTTTAAGGAATGGCTTAAGGCAGGTTAAGCTTTGAAGCCATTTCTCCTTGGGGAAGAAATCGAATGTTTTGGGAAGACCGAGTGGCAAATGCAGAGCTCCAGAGGCATCTAGGAATTAGAATGTCCCTAGGGAGCAGGGCAAGGAGGAGGCTCTCACCCTCCAGGACAGGCAGGGAGATAAGGGGAGATGTTTTGGGAAGGAGCAGAGGCCCCAGACATCTACCTTCTGAAAGAACACGCCTCTTTCCATATTCTTATCTTTTTTATTTCCATTCCTCGTGGCTGACCAGAAGCCAAGAAGCTCAGCTATTTCTCTTTGAAGCTGCATTTCTTGTTGGTTGAGCTGAGTGTTCTGAAAGCAGCGTCGCACCTGACTGACACCTGGGCTGCAGCTGGCAGAGAGTTCTCTGTGTGTCTCTCTCTTCAGTCCTGTTTCTCTATCCATTCTTCTTTCATCGGCTGATTGTTTTTTCCCCTCCAGTTTGTACCCTATCCCCAAATTTATTTTCCTTTGCTTGCTGATAATCTTAAATCCATCTTCCGCCTCAGTAATTCAGTTTAGATTGAGATTGATTTAGATGCCTAACCAAGTGTGGAGGGAAGCTTCATGTTCTAGATTCTTGTACTCCCAGACTGTGCATTTTTGCCTTGTAATGCTGCACTTCCACAAACAAACACGACAATTTTTGGAGCAAAACTTGTGTTGAGGCAAGGGGCAGCATTCCACAGCATCCTTAGTGTGAAGCACTGCTCCGGGATGAGAAGGGAGATGCTTTAATGCCTTTTAAAACTATCTGAGGGCCGGGCCTGTGAGGGATTGAAGGAAGGAGGATTTAGGCTGATTTCCACCAGCTGGGTCAGCAACACGAGTAGGACCTGGAGGGTTGGATAAAGCACATTACACTCTGCAGCTCCTTATTTTTGTGCCACATCCCGGAGCGTGTATGTGTGTAAAAAACCCCCAGCAGGCTTCCAGACGATGTCCCGTTCCAGCGGCGCTGCCTCCTCTCCCCGCCCGGCCACCGCCCACCTGCGCGCTGCCCCCGGTAGATGGAGCATCCTCATCGCTTTTCGCCCGAAGCCCTCAGAAATGTTGCTCTTTCCCTCATAAGTCCCGCTGTTCAGGCAAACGGGTGCTTTGTGGGGCACATGCGCCCCGCCGATGTGTCCGCTGGGGGAGCGGAGCGCCGCGGCCGCACGCGATAAACCCGCCCGGCTGCTCCGCTGGGTGAGCGGGCTCAGCCCCTTCTCCCGACTGCCGAAGCTGCTTCGGGTTTGCCCGGCTACCCCGGCTCCAGCCGCCCCTGCCCGGAGCGCGGCGGGCAGGTGGCACCGGCCGCACTCTCCGCACCTTTCGGCGGGGCTGGGGTGCCCCGGGCCGCGGGGGCTGCCCCGCGGGGCGCGGCCGGCGCTGAGGGGCCGCGTTCGGCGGTGAGGGGGGGGTTGGCCCCTTCCTCCTTGGGTGAGTCTCTGGAGGCTCCTCGCCCTTTCCCTTCAGGCAGCGCCCGAGACGTTGCGGAGCCGCCGCGTTCTGGTCGCTTTCCCGGTGCTGATGGCCCCCCAAAGGCAGTGGATCCCCTGAGCGCCCCGGCCGCGCTCTCCGCCCTGAGGGACTCGGGCCCCGGTTCTCACGCCGCCATTTTGTGGCGCTCCTGTCCCACAGTATGGGGGGTTCCCCTATCTTTTTTTCTTTTAGGAAAAATAGTTTTATTTTTTAAACCCCAAGACTTTAGGGAATCATCTGCAGTAAAGGCCTTTTGTTTGGTATGTCCTGACAAAGTACATTGTGGCAGTCCAATGGGTTCTCGGTTCAGGTCTCCTCACGCGGTTCAGGTCTTCTCCAGGGTTTCCTAAAACAGTGTGGTAAAAGAAGGGCAAAGGAGCATAAACAACACTAAGAGAGGCTCAGTTTTATTTTATTTTATCAACAGAGATAAAAAGTTACGAAATGTAGGCTCTTCTAAATTTCAAGAAGATTCACACAACCAGCCCCTTTACAGTAATGAATAGCACGGGAGAAGCACAGGTTTGCTCCCAAAAGAGCCTCCCTAAAATGAAAATTATTAATATAGAGTCAGCTGGAATGAATACTGTTTCACAGTTTACAACTGGTAGAATCGAGATATTGATTTTAAGGAAGATATTTACCTCACAGGTTATGGGTATTTTCCACCTTTTAATGAAGAACCTGGTTGTTGCCAGATGAGTTTCTGAGAAGTGACATTTTTAATGTTAGTGCTGTAATGCCTTGAGACCACTTCAGGCAGTTTGTTTGTGGGTTCTGCACCCAATACAATCTCTTAATATACCAAACTTTATTGCCGCGATTGAATTCCGTGTAATTACATTAATGCCGTGCAAAAATGCAAAATACACAACAATACTTTCCTCCTGGCAGCATTCTGAATAGCCCCATTAGAAAGAACAGATGAAGTCTGAAGCTGGTTTACCCGGTCGCGTGTAGTACATATTTATCTTTAACAAAAATATCAGTCACATAGGAGAATTTCCTCTGAATTAACCAACATCCTGAGTTGGCTGATGGTTTGATGCTACTTTTCTGCAGTATGTCCAAGAATCAGCCTTTGCTGCAGTCATATCCTGGAAGACATCAGATGTCAAAAGTTTATTACAGGCTGGTGTTATCTACTGTTTTAAAAGTCTGCAAACACCATATATATTACCAGTGCCATTGAATTTCTCAGCGTTTTCTACTGGTGACACGTGTATCCTCATAATTCACAGCACAGAATAACATTTGACATTTGCAGTTACACTACTTCTTTTTAACAATACCAGAAAAATAAATATTTTACATATTCATGCTTTCAGAAGCACTATTTTCTGCACCCTTTTCATATATTTTATTGTAAAAATACACTAAAAGAAAATAAACACTTTCGTTCTCTCTACAAAAACATTAGCACTCTTCTACAAAAATATTCAAAAGGTAAAATTATTTGTATTTTTTTTGTGATAATACAGTAGTCTCTATCTCAATAATATACAGCTATACAGTCTGCTCTATTGATAAACTTCGTGTTGCAGTTTATGAAACAGTAAATAAAATTTCTTTGCCTTAATCTCTTACAGTTTTTATGGGAAGTTTCAGAAAACCAGCTAATAAACACTTAAATAGTTTCTTGAGAACACCTTTTTCACCTTTTTAATATATGCTTTTTTTTTTTTTTTTATTCTAAGGAATTACTTTGGATTTTTTTTTCACATGGTGAGAAAGCAAAAATATTCTGCCTTGATCTGTGGCTTGAGGTAGTATTTCCTCATATTTTCCTTATTATTTTCAGAAGATTTTTTTATTTGCTACCTTAAGTGTTTTCAGGCGCTAGGATATCAATCCTTTAAATACATTTGGTAAAACTATTATCTCTTTCTCGGAGTTTTTACCGCAGCCTGTGCTAATCCAGTCCCTTGGATTAGGTGTTCTGATCCCCCCTTAACGATGAGACAAATTCATTTCTGTCAAACACCCCGCCTCGCCCCTCCCGCTCCCGCAGCCCCAGTGCTGCAGGATGGAGCCCTAATGCCACCTGAGTCCAATTCTGCGGTTGTTTTCTATTCCCCCTGATCCTGGGTTAGGGTCTCATCCTCAGCACCGGTTTGCCGTGGCTTTGCTCCTCTCGCCGTGTGATGGGGAAGCCACGGTGGGACAGTCAAAGCCCAACTTTGCTCGCTGTTAATGCACCTGAGCTAACGAGCTGTGCCCGGAGCGTCCTGATGAGCGGTGTTTGCAGCCCTTTTAGGGATCGCCATCACCCCCCAGCTCCACAGACTGAATTTCTGCACGTAGCAGCACGGTACAAACAGAAGAAAGGATTTATAACAATCCGTTTTACATTTAGTGAGAATTGTGTCTTTAATCACACCTAGCGTTCCCACACCTTTGATTTAAATGGACTTGGTGGTTGGACAGGAGGAGTGTGCAGGATGCTGGAGGAGCTTTTCCATCAGCAGCACCGAAGTCCAAAGGCTCAGTAACCAGCTGGAGTACAGGTTAAACATCTTGTACACAAACATCTCTCCTTGCTTTCTTCATTGCCTTCTGAGAACATTAAACCTCTCAAACACAACTGCTCCAGGAGCAACGTTTTACCTAAATTATAAATGTCCTGTTTCCCTAAGTGTGGTTTAGACTCTTACAAATCCCTTACCACCATTAGTGAGAAATTTGGTTCCATTAGATAGTAATTCAAATGCAGCTAAAACTACTTTTCTCCCTTTTATGTTACAATGTGTGGTATTGTCTTGCAATTTTTACTTGTTTATTGTGTCAACAAGGCTTTTGACTGTGTAAATCCTTGAATTGCTTTTTTCTTTCGAAGTTTAAGAAATGAGTGGCAAGGTTTCGATCAGCTTGGACAAAATTCTGGTCAAGTTTGGTAGGTCATTATATCATACATTTTTTTTATTAACAATTACTTATGCACTTCATACAGTCTGCTTTATTTTCCGCTTTAAACAGTTATATTAACTTCAAATAAATGTATAATATTAAGCTTTTGTTCTTTGGCTACATAATGTTAGCTGGGAGGTTAATAATAGTAAAATTTCTATTTAGATATTTTACTAAAATAGTTGTTAATCAGAGTTTGTGCAATTAATGCTGCACAGCATGTTTGTTTCACAGCTCCACTCGTATATATGTATATAATGAAGGGTTAATTTTCTTCTTAAGCTTACCAGATAGAAAAGAATCACAGTGCTAAGGAACATGTGGACCATCAGATAAATTGTGAGTAGTGATAAATGATCATTTTACTGGATGCTGAACACTGATTTTGTTCCGTTAATCCTGGGACATGCTCTGTGTCGCGGGGGCGGAAGCGCGATAAACAATGGAAGCTGTCCCGTGTCCTGCTCTCACCCTGCCTCGTCTTTAGCCATCAATACTCGCTCATTCTCCCCAGCACACTTTGCTTTTGCTCAACACTTTCAGCCGAGGCTGCTCAGCTGCCTCATGGACAGGCAGCTTCATGCTGCGCCATTTCCTGCTCTGACTCTGCAGCTCCTCACAGTCACTGGCAGCCCTTTGATTCAGCTGTGCTTGCTCAATACATCTGCCACTCGCCTCCCTTTCTTTCTTCATGGTTTTTGTTCTTTCCAGATTTGGACCTCTGCCTCACTGCATCTTCTCTCTTTCTGTTTTCTTGACATAATGAAAGTTCTCTCAGTTGCTGCTACGTACTCAAGCCTTGTTCTTCTTTTTTTGCAATCAAGCAGCTGGTTACTTTATTTGAAATTCAAAACACTAAACCCAAAGAGAAAGTCTTGCTCTGCATCAAATTTGCTCTGTCCCAGAGCTTCCAGACAACGCAATACTATGGACTTATGTCTGGACTGATTATCTAACCATGTTACTATGTGGAATCACTTCATGAAGTCTGAAGAATAGTTTCTCTACCACAAACAATCTGAGAACATCTGTGCTCACCTCTGGTACTTCACATGCAGATTTTCAAGCACATAAACTCCATAAAAAAAAAAAAAAAAAAAAAAAGGAAAAAAAGCAGAAGAAAAAATTCTGGTCTAATTTGTGTTCTTTTTGATTACAACATTTCTAATAATCTTCACTGATATGTCCAAGTACTTATTCATTGAGGAGATTATCACAATTGAATTGAAGCACCTTAAACATGAAAACATCTGTAACACTAAATCTGGTACACCTTGGATTCTGGTTTAACTCTCCAGTCACACAACTGAACCTCAGAGATAAGGCTTTCCTTAACATTTATGCAGGCTTAGGGTAAATGCTCTTAGGGAAAATCCAAGGGCTGTGTAGTAACATGGCATAGCTGCTTTTGTGTTCAGAGATACCTAAATATGTGTAAACACACAGCCAACACTCAGGCTGTTAGCAGTTTGGGTTAAGTCTTCCAAAAACTTAGCAAAAAATAGTGACACTGATGTAATTTTGTCTCAGTGTGGGTATTACTTGGCAGATGAGCAGCTGTAGCATTCAGCCTTGGACTTTTGGTGTGAGATCCATCAGGCTATTTGGCTACAGTCCCTTTCTTACCAGTGGAGGGAAACAGGCGCTTTTAGGATGTGATTTACCTTATCCTGAAGAAACAGTTTAAAGTGGGTTAGATAAAGTAAACTTTTAAAATGCCAGCTTCTCTCAGCTGGGTGTAGCTGCAGCCATGGGTGAGCTGTTCTGAAGAAGGTCCCTGTACTTTGGGGTGAGATGGATCTCACCCACCAGGTCCTTGGGAAAGTGCAGGGTGAGTTGGACAGCTCACAGAAGTGCTTGTCTGTAAAAAATACTAAATAAGATGTGAAATGTTTATTCTGTTAATGATGTTATGTTTTGATAAATCTCAAAAAGTCATCTACAGAGTTCTGCCGTACTCAGCTATTTACAGAAATGAAGCCATGTCAGTTGTCCAGTATTTATGCTTCATGCTGAGTAAAGACAAGTTACTGACTTTAGATATTGAAAATATTAAGGGACTGAAGATAACCCAAGGATAACTCAAGATATTAAATTATACTGAGAAATTTTTGCTTTTCACTGACTGACATTTCTCTGTGAGAAGTGGTTTATTTTCTGCTATAAATGCAGAGGCTGTAGAAAATTAATATATAGCAAATAGTTCAAAACCAGAGTCCAAATTCAGGAAAACTGAAGTTTCAGAGCAGTAATTCCAATAACTCCAGACCCATCTTGCATCACTAAGATGCTCTTCCCAATGGAGTAGATGAGAGAAGGGCAGGATGTGATTGACTTCTGTGCTGGGCCACCCACTCTGGCATTTAGTGCTTCAGGGCAGCAGTGATAGCAAGGGATGGTTTAGCACTGATAAATCTGAAATCTTGCATAGAAAAAAAGAATTAAAAATGCAGAGAAAAAGCATTCACCAAGTTTGCCTATTGCATTGCAAGGTGAGCGTACATGACAGCTCTCACAGCTTTTACTTGTGAAGAGAGCTCTGATCACGTTCAACAACATGGATTCTCCTCTAGCCACTCATTCAGAAAGTGCTATCAGCTGTCTGCTGTCAGAAGAGGCAAATTAATTTTGCCTTAAGAATCCACAAATATCATAGTCCTTGAGTACCTGTCATTATAATGCACTTTTAAATTAATTAACCCGTGTCCTAAACCAATTTATCATACATTACACATTCCTACATTGAGCTAAATTCCTTTTTATTGTATTTTTTCTCTTTCTGTTTTCCACTAATTGCTTATATGCCTTTTGTGGTGTTTTTTATTTTTTTCTTTATTGTAGTCAGCTTTTCCAGTCAGAATATTTGACATTCTGGGCTTCTGCAAAAGAATACAAATGTTTGAAAGAGGGTCCTGGTTCTGGCTAGAGAATGAGGAGTGTTTCAGTGGGAGCACAGAACTGGGGAATATCACTAACAGTTATTTCAGTTCTGTACAGACTGGGATTCAGAAACAGCACAAACCATGGCAGTCTCACAATATTAGATGATAATTAAAGTTCTCACCACACATCTGAAAATCCCTATGTTTCGACTGACTTTGTTGTTACCTTGCTTAACTGCAGGCTGTCCACTCACCTGGCATTATGGAGATTAAGTTTTTGGAAGGAATTTTTAATCAATATAAATGTATACTCATTTTTTTAATGGATTTGTTGAAAATGCATGAATATACTTTTAAATTTATTTTTTAATTCCAGCGTACACTGCAGAAATCACAGAAAAAAAGAATGAAATTGCTTGGTTGGAGGCAAATATAAAGAAAAGCAATGAGGCAATTGCTGATTTGCAAAAGCACAACGAGAACAGCAAGAGGCGCTGTGATGTGTGAGTATGGGAGAGCCTGAGCTCTGAGCTGGGGCTGCCACTGAGGAACTCACTGAGGAAGGAAGGGAGAAATAAATGTGGGTGTGTTCTGACAGCAGTGATGTTAAAGAAAACTTCAGTATTCTCCTGTTTATTTTAAACTGCAAATTTTAGGTATAAAAATTTCAGTATTAGCCATCTGCTGAAGAAGAATTATAGAAAAGCAGACTACATTTAATTTTGGGTTGGTTTTTTATTTAGATCCCCAGTTTTTAGAAGATCACAGGTACTATCTTTGCAGCATGCTAAAGTATTCACGTAGTAAGGTAACAGAAGAATAATTTTTCTACACTTGGATGCACCTGAATTTTGTCAAATTAGACCAATATTAAGAATGCTGTTAAAAAAAAAAACTTCCTGAAATTGAACATCTTTCTATCCTTTCTTCATAACATGTTTCAAGTTACTTTTTCTCCTATACAGATTTTTACACAAGATGTGCCATAACTGCCTCTCCACACATGGGTATGCTTCTGCTGGCAGATTCCAGTATCAGTTTTGCTCCAGACTGCAAAATTTGCCTTCTGGGCAAAATCTTTTGATGCATGCAATGGGCTGCAATTCACAGTTTTCCTTACATAAATGTTTGTATCGATAATTAATTCAAGTTTTAAATGCTGATCACTTTTGGATCTTAGTAATTAGAAGCTTTTCAAGACACAATTTAGCTACAAGGAATTTCATCTTCCTGACACATAATTTTTAAAAATTAAAACCTCAGGTGTTTGTCAAGGGTAGCTGGAAAGGCAAATCTATATTTGACAATACAGAGAATTTTTCCCAGCTGATAAAATCCACCAAAGTTTTCCATTACTCCACAATCTGACTAGTTCCTCAGAAGCTGGAGTGAGGATTTTTTGGCAAATTCTATTTTGTTTTCTTACAATTCTATTCTAAAGGTAAGTACTTCAATAAAAATATCTATGACATACATTTGAAATTTTTTTTTTGCAATATGAATGGAGAGTGTGGGTGTTTCTGAGAATAAAGATAAAAGTAAAGATGGCATTGGGGTCCTTTCTAGGTTTATTTTGAACTCTCAGAAAGAAAAAGCAAGAATGGAATCATTAGTGAATAAAGTTGGTATAATGGCTGGCTCATTTGAATGAATTGCCATTCAATACTGATTTGTAGCTTTACAATAACATGAGTTGGAAAAAGATCTGACCTTGGTAAATAAATTCTATATTTCCATCACATTAAGTTCTTGCCTCCAATGTAGTATAAAATGAACACTTACACAAGTTTATGAAACCATCCACACTGCTTCCCTTGATATCTTTTTGAGGCTGCAAATCTGTTTGCAAATGACAAACTGTTAAGTGATGCAAATGAAGGAGTAAAAAATTAAGGGTAGGACTAAGGATCTGATCTAAATTTTAATCATTGAATTCAATGGGTTTTGGCTCAAGTCCTACAAAGAATAATTAATGGCATTAGTGTAAAGAGACTGAAAATGAGAAGTGACTCATTAATGAATACATGTATTCATAGAAGGACAATGCTTGCAGAAGAGTAGAGACTTTGTGTCTTAAATTATTGGAAATGTCATTTAACGACAGACTGAAAACTGCAATAAACAAGCCCTGGCTATAAATCAGACAATTAGAGCACTTACACAGTAGAATCACCCCAAACTTCTAAAATTTATTCTAGTTGACACTCCCTCTATACTGGACATGATTCTAATGTTGGTTTTGTAAATTCAGATACTGTTTTGGAGTCACAATCACCCTCACAGCTGACTAATTGCCAGTGATGGAGCTCAACAGAGCTCTCAGAGAAGCAACATTTTGTCTGGGTTACAAGACATTCTGAGTATATTGAAGCAGATTTGAAGACTTTGAACAAAATACAAGCTTCTTATATTCAGCAAGTTTAGAGAAAATATGATCTATGGGATAGATGTGTTGGGATAATACTGTGTTTTCTGAAGAAATCCATATTGGCCTATGTAAAAAAGACCTGAAGGCAGAAAATGACCCAAATGAAAAATTTTTAGAGAAGTGATGACATTTTGCTAATATTTAGTTTCTTGAAGGATTCAGACTAGAAATGTTGATCCCAGAGCAGTAAGAAAGGGTGAAATGCTGCTGATGGAACCTATTCCAATTTTATTGTTTCTCTATACAATTTTTAAATTTGGATGCAAGGATGGTGGGATTTGATGGAAATAGAAGATAATTTTAAAAAAAGCCACTTGAAGTCGGAATGTTGTTAGTTAGGAAAATAAATTGTTTTCTTGTCCCAAGACAAACTGCAGGATAATTTTATTGCTTTCAGAGTAGTGTGGTTAAAGATCTTTTCTATACCCTGGCTGACGAAAGGAAGGACAAATAAATGTGATGGCTACCAAGGACATCCATGAGACAGTGATGCATTTTGCAAACAAGTAAATGAGCTGCTTGAATCCTGCATGCCTGGCTGTGTTCACAAACCACTGTTCTTGTACCACATGTTCTTTCATGTCCACAGAATAGATGTGAATAAAAAAATGTAACTCACAGCATGGCTTGTGCTCTGATTAATAAAATCTCTATGAATTTTACATCTTATTTTTTTCCCTACAAAGTAAGTAATGGAGTTTTCTGAGTAAAAGAACATAGTAGTGTCTGGTGTGCAAGCACATTTTTATATAAGTATGTTGGTTTCTGCCTTTGAAAAAAATCTGACCCTTTTGAAATTCAGCTTTCTGCTGAATTTGCAGGAGGAATGGTGAAGTAACATTTTGTAGTTCCACTTTTAATCACCAGTGGTGTCCAACAATTTGTGCCAGGAGTGCTGGCTGGTTCATGCTTCTTATACCAATTTTTTTCCCCCGACAAGATTCTTTCTTTTCTAAAACTTTTTAATATGCCTCTCCCAAAGATGACATCAGAATTTCACTTGAATCAGGAAGTCTATCTGCCTGTTTTTCTGGTATTCCATATCCAAGGCAGAGCTATCTCTAATGCCTGGATGTTGACAAAGTCCTGCTCTTTCAATAGTCCCAAGAATTCTGTGAAGCTGCTCTGCTCTCAGTACCACCTACAGCCTCCTGCTGCAGGAAAATCACTTTGATGCCTTCTGAGCAGGACTTGCTTGGCAAATGGGGAAATTCTGAGTGCATTGGAAATTCTGAGTGCCTCTGGGTGTGAGATGGGTGCTGGTGATACTGGTGAGAATGAAGTTGTGGGCGTCTCCAACAAGAAGATTCAACATATCTAAAGGATTTATTGATGGTGATGTGCTGAGGACCAAAATGTGGATTTAGATGCCACATTACTTAGCATTAGCTCCAAAAAAATTTGTGAAGTTCATTCCATTAATTTCTTAAAAAGTGCTTTGTAATGTTTCTTAATTCTAAATATATATATTTTTTTATTTCTTCTTGAATTTGCAGGTTTAAAATATTAACAAAATAAATGTATGCCTGCAAAAGACTTCATTTATATTTAACTTTCAAAAAATTAATAAATCATTTGCAAGCTAGCTAAAGTATCTAGGTGTTTTCTTTTCTGAATGTTTTTTTACTAAGAAACACCACTAATATGCTTTTATTTTTTGTTTACTTTGTTCACAGCTGGAAGTCCACCTATGTAATTCTTAAAAAGCATGGAGAATATTTGAACAAGGAAATGAAAGCTTTAGAGGAAGCCACAGAAACTGAGAGGTATCTATGATCACATAAGATGAGGTTTCCAGCAGTAGTACTGACTAAACTGATCAGCAAAACTAGTGCTGTCTGCAAGAAAAAATTGTTGCAAACTTTTCAGCTTATAGTCACTTACAAGTGACTGAATAATTGAAAGAATTTTTATTTACATTACTATGAGATCATATGTTATTTTTTAATTGCTAAAGAAATATGATAAAATATGAATTCTTGAAAATCAGTTGCTTCTCATTGTAATGACTATTATGATTTTTCAGAGAATTGTATGATTGCCTACTGTATCAAGAAAAGCCCAATACATAAAAATAATTAATGTTTTCAAGTAACACTTAGAAGCATTTAGATAATTTTATGCTTTTCCTTATTTTTGAACATGAATTGCATAGCATTATCAGAATATACAAATCAAGTTTTTGTATGCTGTTGTATATTCTTCAAAATAACCACAAAACATGCAAACTCAGTCTTAGGTCCTGAAAAATGAGAAAGTGGCTCAGAAAAGCCTGGTCTAAAACCATTTTAAGACTTTTTGTGGGCAAGCTTCAGTCAGCATTAATTGCAAATTCAATTCTGTTCAGTGCGTGGCATCTCAGCTCTATCATCTTCATTAATTAGACTCAGCATTTAAAAGAAATTAATAATTGTGTGATGTAGCTGCCTACAGTCAACGAAATAAAGAGCAGACCCTGAAGATTCTCACAGAAATGAGAATATGCTGTGCCAAAAATGCTGTGCCGAGGAAACCCTGCAAAGTTCCACTGAACAAAGTAAAACTGATCTCCAGTTTGGGAGGGCTGCTCACCTGCTCTGCCTCTGAGGGGGTGGAGGCTGCTGCCCTGGGTGCAGAAGTCATGGCAAACCCCTCCAGATACCTAAATACCAGTTAAAATTTGTAAATTTAAGTAATTTAAAACATTGGTTTTGTGTTTTTTGCAGTAATTCTTTTTGCCAGTTGTCCAGGACAGCAGAAACAGCATGCCTGAGAGCCTTTAATTAACTCACTTAGTAGCTTATCTTTCTTCTTCCTGTTCAGAGCTCTAAATTTGGTGAAAAATAAGGCTAAATTTGCTTTCTATGAGTATATGATTAAGCCTTTTTGGCTTTCACTAATTTGAGCTGACAAGCCAAAGAAGCATTACTTTTAAATTGCTTCTTTAGATAACTAGTTTCAGTTCCAACATGAAAGTGTTTGATCTGTTTTCCTAAGCCTAATTGTGAGACATCATGAGTACAAATCACAAAATAAATTTCATTCATGCATTTTTCAAAACTGTGCCCCAAATATAGTCTCTCTGCACCAAAGCATTTGATGATATGTTCAAGTCAGCAAGATGTGCATTCAGTAAATTCTAAATATTTAAATTAGGAAGAAAAAGAAGTGTTTTTAGAACTTTATGAGCTGAATGTTCTTTTTAATCTGACTTTTGGGGGCACCGAGGACATGCTGCTTTAGATGGAAAGATGTGTTTTAAAGATGGGCAGATCAGTTCATGTTTAATTAGGCACTTATACTGGAGGTTTATAAAATGTTCCACATTTTTTTGTTGTTATTGGTTTCAAGAACATATAAGAATGCATTTATGAACTGGAAGTTAATCCTGAAAATAAGTGATATGAAAAGGAAAAAGTAATAAATTGCTTTCCACATAATGTTCAGGGGGTTGTGAGTGCTGCCCTTTTCCTGTTGCAATTAGATTAAAACTTTTGCAGATTAATGTGAACAGTGGTGAATTCTAAATAGTCTGTGTTATCTGCATGAACTGCAGGATGTAAATTACTCAGAGAAAATACTAAAAATAGTGGTGATTACTCAAGACTTCTAAACTACATATGGCCATAAATATTGTCTGTGAAAAATAGATTTTGGGAAAAGAATATAAAGTTTTAGGATTATATTCACAGGCTTAAAATGTACCTGCTAAAACAAATTCTTTTACTTATTTGTATTATTTTAATCTATTTGTAATGCATTGTAAGTTTATTAGCAAATTTATTTTTGATCAGTGATTGCTGTAACATCTATTTAATTAAATAGAACTGAGTATTTTTCATCTTTCATGCCTGAAAAATTTTGTACAGTATACAGAAATATTAAGTAAATAAAAAAACCTTAAATTCCTGAGGCCACCTGTGTAGAAAAGCACATAGATTAGTGTCATTTTCTATGTGAAGTTTGGGAAATATCAATTTCTAGGTTTGATTCACAGTGTTGACCTACAGCTTCTCTCCCCTACATTTTAACAGTCAGTTCAACAGGAACTCTTGCCTGGAGTGTAGTTTGATTTGAAAATTAGAATCTGACTGTGTTTTGCCTTGTGAATTTGTTTTCTTTTTGTAAGAGCAGAAGATTCCAGTATTGAATGTAGACATGAGTTTTTCTCTCTGCCATTGCCTGGCACAGCCAGTGGGCAACCAGAACTCTCAAATGCAGCCTTTCAGCCATGCTGCAATTAAATGATAAATAGCAGTTTGAGATAAAATGTGTTCCTTAAAGGGAAGTCCTGTGAGCTGTGCAAGTGGTGAGAGCTGTTCTTTAGTAGGGACGGGTTAAGAAATGGGATTCTGGCTTTCATTGCTTTTAAGCACCCTAGTTCTTCCCATAAAGGAATTTCTTGCTAATCCTTAAGTGTACTAATAATATAATTTTTTAAATTTGCCTCTCCATTGTTCACATGAGCTTTTCCTGCATTAATTGATGTAACCTACTTCATTAATTCATAGCTCTGTGCTCACATGGTGTCAGTGAAGTTACATTTAGTGCAACATTAATTTACAGGGCAGCCCCACAAGAAGCTGAGCATTCTGGCTCTTTGCCACTTAAACATTTAAGTGTTTGCTTAACCCTAAGTATGAATAGTCCTGTTGTTTCAGTGTGACTGGTGTGTGTGTTTAAGGCTTCCCCAAGATTACTCAGCATCTCCTTGGAGGCAGCTCTCAGTCCAGTGGTGCCCCAGGCTGCTCTGAATGTGGGAGCTTTGTCCAAATTCTCTCCCACTGAAACTTGGATCCAGCTCCACCAAAACTGATGGAATTGTGCCAACATGCACCAGCAGAGACTTTGGCCTGCAGTGAGTTTCATGATAGTTACACAGCCAAAAACACATTTGTCATCTGCCAGGCTGCCTTTGAATATGGTATGGTCCACATTCCCCTCAGAACAGGGAGATTTGCCTGCTTTTTACATCATATTCTTTGTTACATACAGCATAGCCTTCCTTGACTATAACTGGAAAAATAATGAACCCAAATATTGCCATAGAAATATAATCTGACTTTTCTTCCTATGACAGTAGCAAATTAACTGAGTTGATGCCAGAATTTATAGGGTTTTTTTTCCTTATAAACAATGGTTTCCTGTGGAAAAAAAAATTAAATTACATGTGTTTTTATAGGAAAATATATGAGGATTCCATAACCCAGTGTAGGATGAATTTGGAGGAACACCACAAAAAATATACAGAAACTGCTCTGGCCCAGAAGTATTACCAAATAAAGGAAGAAGTTGAAGAAATTCAAAAGGGAGTTTTGAAATGCCTTGAAAAATACAAATGGAAAGAAGATGCTTGCTTGGATATTCTGGGTACTGCTATTGTCAATGCTTTTGCAATAAAGCTTTTTGGCAGTGCACTGCACATTAAAGGTGCCATACAGAAAACCTCCAATTTTCCAAAGTTTCCTTTAAGCTAATAAAATATATTCTCTTTGTCACACCATTTTTAGAAAAAAAATTTGTAGTAAATAAGAATTTAGATTATACATATTGATACTGCTTCCTACCACCCATAAATGTAATGGGGAGAGAATTGTCATTGAACTTCTTGGGGTGAAAAAGTTCTAAGATTTCTTTAGATCGAGCCTCTCAAAATTATAAATTTAATTTTCATCACATTTTAGTGCTGTTATACTGCAATTTTTGTTATCTGTACCAAGCCAGGATAAATGCTCATGATCTATTATTTTATCTTGTATTTGTTTAAGAAACTTGATTTGTTAGTTAATGATCTGAAGGTAAATTTTATTTTTGCAGAGGCTGTTCCTTTTGCATCCATAAATAATTGGGCTGTACACATGTATCCTTGATTTCTAGTGTTTGCTCAGTTGTCAGGAAAGAAGTTTTATATTTACCTTTAAAAACTTTCTATTAGAAAAGATAGTAATTATTTATATATTTATATATTTATTTATATATTTATATATTTATATATTTTTATATTTATAGATGTATAGATTTATACATGTATAGATTTATAGATTTATAGATTTATAGATTTATGTTTAGAGTGGCAGCATTAACATTTGTCTCTGAGAAAACTGGAGGTCAAAGTCAGCTATTCAGTTTGAATTTATGGGAGCATTTTGGGTAAAGGATACAAAATTTCATTTAATAACATATCCATCAAAATGCTTCATTTAGGAGAAGCTTAATAGATGTTAGAGTTGAAAATTTGCCAAGAAAATGCAGATTTATCAGGGCTTCCTGCACCTCTAGCATTTGTGTTATGTCATAGAGAGGTCAGGGATCTGGTGGCATCCCTTGCTTGAGGAAATATATTGTAAAATATATTCCATATATTGTTGTAAAATATATTCCATGACTTGGAAGTGCCTCCATGAGGAAAAAAATACAGGAAACCTTGCAGCTTGCTGAAGCTGCTGCACAGGAAACCATCAAACTGGAAAAAGAAGCTGAAGAATTACAAATGAAATTTGACTGTTTAACAAAGGTAACTGTATCCTAATTTTATTTTATATAAATATATGTTATATATGTGGTCCTACATAGCACAGTAACATTTTCTGAAACACCAAAAAAGTAGTGTATTTTCAATCTCACAGACAACAGAATGATCCCAGCCTTATAATTACATTTCTATAGCATCACATGAGTTTTTTTGGAGAAGAGGGGCCATGGATGTGAAGGTTTTTACAGTTTCCTTTCTGCTGACCTCAGTTTGTGCCACAGTTTCTGCCAAGGCACCGTGTCACCATGACTTTGGTGTCACTCAGGAGAATACACTTGAAAACAGATCAGGGCCACTCCTCAGGGAGCCCCAGGGTTTGAGTGTGTAGCTGTCACACACTGGGTGAAAGCTGCACACTCTTTTTCCTACTGGGTTTTTAAAGGTTTGCATTTAACTAAGTATGCTTTACAATAAGAATAATGGAAATTCCTTCTCTTCTTATTTTTTTCACCAAAATACACGTGTGGGTATGTAACACCCAGAAGAAAAACTGGCTGATTGACCAGGAGAAATGCTGATTTCAAAGGGAGAATCTTCAAAATAATCAAAGAGATTTTATCAGTACAGAATTTGGACTCACTCTTCTATAAAAGGTCTTTTAAGCCTGAGTAGCCCAGTCTTGTAAAGGTTTAATAACTTTTTATGGGAATTGCATCTGGGTGCTTTTACCCATCTGTCTGGAGCAGATCAAGGACTCCATTCCCTGCCTAGTGCTGATAGCAGCACGTTTTGCACAGGTGCTTTTTCTGTTTATATTCTGTCATCCTGTTTGACACTCCTGGTTCCAGACTGAAGTTCCCAGTGTGGTTTGTGCTGTGTAAACAGACAGGGAGAAGGGAGGATTTGTTGAAGGAGACCATGTAAAGAGCTCCAGGTTCTGACATTTACACCCATGCTCCAAAACTTCTCTGTTTATTCCAGTTGTTACAGTTGACCCAAAAAAAAAAAATTCCTCTTTTTAACCTTGTTCTCCCCATTTCTTCAGAACCTCTTGGCTACAGAAACTACTACTATTTAGTATTAGTTCATGAGCACTGATTCATGAAGTTTAGAAAACTTTTGCAGCATGTAGCTAAAATAGTTCAAGTTTTGTCAATTTTTATGCCATTTGTTCTTTATCTTTTAAGAGCATCAAAGAGACTAAAGAAGATCAAAATAAATCCGAAAAGATTGAAGGAAAAAATCAGAAAAGTCTTGAGAAGCCAGAACTGTTTAAAGAAAGGTACACTTCAAAATATTTTTCCCTTGCTTTTATCCAGGATACTGTGTCAGAATTTACACAAAGACTGCTACAAAACACAGATTGCTGTTCAGTAAGGACTGGAAAGCTTCTCTAATCCTGATCATGTGATTTAATTATGAAATTTAAAAAGTTTTATATTTCTGAGGGTTAAGATAGTGACAACTTTTGGTTCTTGGAAGCTCAATGTATCTGGACACATTTTCTATACTATTTTGTAGAAGCATTTTCTCCTCAGCTACTGCTGAGAGATCTGTGTGAGTAGTTTTGAATGCAGCTACAGTGACTGTGCAGTCAGAGATAAAAGAACATTAACTCTACTAAATATATGTATTTGGAAAAGGAGCCAGGGTTCCAAATGTCAGTTGTCTTCACCTCTGAACTACTTAAGAAATTTAACTCTTAATTTAGCTCTTAAAAACAAGCATGAGTGAAAGTTTCATAGACAGGATTAATGGCTTAGTAAATTAGTCAGTGATCATTTACAGCTGGGACTCACTTTAATTTGAGCTCAATTACAATGACTGAAAATCACCATGAGGACTATCTTGCACTTATCTGGAGTCCTTGGGAATGTTAAAACATCTTCTGTTGGTCGGGCATTTTTAGACCAAAATCCATTTTAAAGCAAAAATATGTCTGAAAGACTTTGTCTAAGTGATTTTATATTATGGTGTTCTTGAAAAAGAATCCTTTTAGGGCTTTAAATAGGCATTTAGTGGAACATATCTATAAAAAAGTGTCATTTTAGTAATTCCTAAGATTTTTTTCACAGGGATCTCTTAAGTCTTTAGTATCTTCTTACAGACCTATGAATCATTGAGATGAACATTTCTTTGTGGTGTAGCTTTGCACCCATTCTACCTTCTCATGTAAGAATTTTGTAATTGGCAAGAACAGAAACATGGGGAAGCAAGAAATCCCCCTAGTTTCAAGGCAAGGTAAAAAAAAGATGGAAAGCACTCTGAATTTTCAAAGAAACCATGTGTGTTGAGTCTGCAGAACACAAAACACCAGTGAAAGACCTGCTGTAAGAGGCAGAGATCCCTGCTCTGGGTGTGGAGGGGTGAGAATCCCTCAGTGAGGTGTGTTGGCTCTGTTTTGATTTCTCCCTGCTTTTGACTCCCTTTATCTGAATTTACAGAGACACCAGCCACACACATCTTGTTTTCTGTAGCATTCATTCTTGTCACATGTTTATCTAGAGCTAATGTAACTGAGAGATTTACTTCGGGTTTTAGTTTTTTAGGTGGTAGATATTTTGTACAGTTTGTTCAGTCTCAGTCCAGCACAGCACCAGGTATAAATGTGATTGCAAGAGAAAATAGTCCTTTTCATCAGAGATACTTGGCTGAGGTGCTTTCTATGTACATGACTTTAATGAGTTAGGTCCTTACATTTAGCCAGAGCTTCTCAGTGGTATTTTTTAGTGTTGCTAATTTTACTCCACACTATCTTCTTAATAGAAGTGTATTCTACATTTTATCTTATTTTTGTTTGTGGAGAATTCCAAGAAGAATATAAAGACTGACTCAGTTCTTCATTTGTTCTGAACAGCATTGTTCAGTCAACTACAAACCAGATGTTGTAGCTAGAAGCACAGAGGCATTAAGCAGGAATGCCAGAGAGAAAATAAAATAGAACTCATTATTCTAAGAAATAGTAAATGTTCCTGTGCCAAACAGCCACTTTACTCTTCATTGTTCTGCTAACCTTTGTCTTTCTGCACTGTAAAGGGCTATTTACCCTACACAGATAATTACCCACAAGTGAAAACACTTGCTGCAGTTTTCTCTTTTGTGTATGTGTAGTGTGAGTATTTCAGACAATCTCAGAGAGAGAAAAAGTGGTTTTAAATGTGAAAATGTGATTTCAGAACTACAATAATGAGGCACTTTGATTAAAGTGTAAAGCTCCACAATATTAATTCTTTTCTTTGATACTGACAAAATTTAAGCCAACAATGTTCTTATGATTGGCTTATTATTCTTTATGGCTTCTTTTTCAGAGATATTCTCTCTCTGATATTATTTAAAGAAAACCTCATTTTTGTCAGCTACTGGTTCTGAATGTGGTAGAACTTCCTTAACAACATCCAATGCCCTTGAGAATTCCACTTATTTGAAGCAGCTATATTTTATGATTTCTTTTCTTTTGCAATGAGTAATTTTTCTTTTAAATTTAAATTTGTTTAGGGTCTTTGAAGAGCGTGAACGCCCATCTTTGCCAAAGGGGAAACATCAGCTGTTTAAAACATTGCATGTCCCATGTATTCCTCAGAAATTTGTCCAGTCTGTACAGAGTTTTAGATTCTCAAAGCAAAGACCAGAAACAGGTGCAGTGTGTTTAATGACTTCAGTGAGCATTTTGGGTTATTTTTGTGCAAAAGAATGGGTAAGTGATGATAACAAATCTAGTGAGCTGCTCAACTACTTATATTTGAAGCCAGGCTTTCAATGAAAGTTGTGTGCTTACCTTTTTTTATGTTCTATAAATCTTGTTTGATTTCTCCCTTATCTGTGCAATGAGTAAAGTAACATGACAGATACACCCGATGTGTGGTGTCAGAAACATCTGAAAAGAATTTAATCTCAAATCTAAAATACCTTTAACACTGTTTGCATTAGTACAGTAAATATTAAACAGCTGTTATTTGTTTCATACGTTCATACTTTGTGATAAAGTTTCTTTTTGCTCTCTATTAAAAGGAAAATTTATAAGGTTTGTTCCCAAGTTTGACAATGCCATACTTTAGATACTTAATCTTACTGACAATATTATGTAATATTTGTAAATTTAGGGAAAGAAGAAAAAGAGAAATCAGTGGAACTTTCAGTGGCCACCAGCAGCTCCTCTAACCTTGCAAAAAATTTATCACAGGTGTGTTGCTCTCCCACTGGTAAAAATATGAAGTTATATAACCTGTTTTATGTGGTTGTCTACATTTAAAACACTTCAAATATACCTCATGGTATTATATCTTACATAAAACCTGTTAGCACTGTAAATTGCTAATCCTGGTAATCTGCAATTGCTTGGTAATCACAGCAAAAATCTTTCTTTTCATTCTGAAAATATCTGTGTTTTTAAAAAGTGCATTCTAATGCCAAATCGAGGTGGACCATCTTACCAACTCATTTTGTATAAGTTTTTAGCATTGAAAATAACCTCTGTAGATTCTGTATGTAGCAAATATTTGGAACTCTAAAGGAGGATCAGAACCTTACTGATGAATCATGAACCATCCACCCCATAATGAGGGGTTTCATAAAGGACTGAGTGTACAGGACAGCCCACAGCTAACAACTCCGTTCTGAGGTTTGACCAGAAACAGAAATCTGGGCTGAGAGGAATAAAACCATGAACAACACTCCTTGGTGCAGTGCAGGAGCCCACAACTCCATTTTCTATCTCTCACCCATAAGACTGTAGTTACTATGACATTTTTGAAAAGGTGGAGTGAATTGCATCTTTATTCAGATACAATATTTTTTATTCAAATACAATAAACTAATCCAGGAGAAAGCTGGAGGTACAACTTGCAAAGCTGGGAAAGCCACCAATAGTCTCATGAGGTGCAAAACCATTCATAGAGCAATAGATTGTTAAAATATTAAATGGAGAAATCAGAGGAAGTAAGGCCATAAGGGGTAGAAGAGTTTGTGACTGTGTTTGCTGTGCAGGAGCTTGGGGAAGTTTTTATCTCTAAACCATCTTTCTAAGAGACATCTCACTGGATCTATTTAAAATCAAAATTTCACGAACAACAAAAAAATCAGTTAAAAAAAGTGAGCATAACCAGTTGTGATTTTCTTAAGAATTTCAAGGGAACTGAAGAATGAGGTGAGCAATCACTAAATGGTTTAGAATGAAGTCTCTGTGGAAGACAAAGCCTTCATATCACAAAACAAGATGAAGGATAGTGACAGGACTGAGTGGGGCAAGACCAGAAGCAATTTCAAGCAATTCTGATTTGTGACTGGCTTAGGGAGTTGGAGGTGATGAGGATGATAGAAGGGCTGTTGCCAGGGTAATCTAGAGGTGAGGCTGAGAGTCTGGGACCTAGAATTGCACCTAGACAATTGTAGGAAGCAGTAAGTCAAGGTTAAGAGAACTTTAAGAAAGGGTGATGGCAACAAGGAAAAGAAGATGGAGCCTGAGGAAAAATAAAAAGATTGGAAGAAAGAAGGTTGCTATGCTTCAGCAAAGGTGTGCTGTACATTACAGGAGTTCAATGGCAGGCAGATTCTGCAGAACCAGCTCTTTTGTCCCCTACTCTGAATAGAAATCAGTTGATACATTTTGTTAATTAAAAAGAAAGAAGAGCTGTAAATTAATGTGTTATTTGATGCTGAGGCATAGATTTGTGCCTTAAGGCACAAATACATGCTACAGAGAAGAGTGATGGCTTCTGCTCTGATGAAATTCTGTGAGGTTGGGAGTATTTCCATATTTTCTGCAGTTTTTCAATCCCCACATGAGACCTGTGCTGACTGAGACTGATGTGGATGCTCAGTTTGTCTCCAGAGGCAGAGCCAGGCCTGGCCCCAGCCCTTTCTGCTTAAAAGAAGGGATTTCCACTGTCTAAGGAGAAATCAGAGTGATTTCTGAGAAATCAGAGGGATTTCTGGCCTCAGCCCTTTCTGTGTTCTCAAGCACAAGCAACCAGGCTGCAGCAGCAGCAAACCTGCTGGAAGTTTGTAAATGGCACAGTACTATTGGTGTTAAAGTGAAAAGTTAATTCATCACATCAGTGCTGTGACCAAGTATTAAAAATTTACAGAATACAGGGCATCATGTTGTCAAACTGCAGGTAAAACAAATAAAAAGTTTTTACATTGTCTGATCCTTAATTTCTGGTTAAAAGAAGGGATTTCCACAGTCTAAGGAGAAATCAGAGTGATTTTTGGCCCCAGCCCTTTCTGTGTTCTCAAGCACAAGCAACCAGACTGTGGCAGCAGCAAACCTGCAGGAAGTTTGTAAATGGCACAGCACTACTGGTGTTACAGTGAAAAGTTAATTAATCACATCTAGTTAGCAGAGCTGTGACTAAATATTAGAAAATTACAGAATGTAAGGTATCTAGCTGTCAAAATGTAGGTAAAACAAAGAAAAAGTTTTAATGTTGTCTGATCCCTTATTTCTGGTTAAAAGAAGGGATTTCCACAGCTTAAGGAGAAATCAGAGTGATGCTGTTGAAATGCAAATTTCACTTGCTGCCTCATGTGAGTTTTTTCTGGTTTTTAGACGATGGTTATTGAGACTGCAGGGAGTAATCGCCCAGAAATTGCCCAAGTTCCATCAACAGTAAGCATAAAAAACCAAGTGAAATTCAGGTAAATTTTCTTTAATAAAATAGCTTTCATTCCTGAGGTTGGGGTTTATGGAAATAATTCACATTTAGGCAAATATTAAACTTTGTCTTTTAGACTGTCAGATCTTCCAAAGCAGTTGACTTCCTATCAACAGTTTGAGAGTGAAAATGCAAGAATGGGTAAAGTATTACTGTAATTTTTTTTATAAGGTTGGATCATATAGTTGTAAACTAGGAAATTCTAGGCACCAAATTTTAACTCTGGCATTGAGAGGGCGACCATTTGCATTTCTTTTCCACCTTGATTGTTTAGCTCAAAATTTGAGTATAGCAGACAGGCAGAGTCCTAATTTAAATAGAGACTTAACTGCTCAGTAATTTGGGATTTAGTTTGCACTGACCATTGTGAGGGAAAGGATCTGTCCAACATCTCTTGTAAATTCACACCTGAATCTTAAATTACTTGGGTAAAATGAAATCCAGTCTTAACATCTAGCTAGAAGGCATGAAAAAATGCAAAGAAGGGAAATATAGTAAACTCAGTAATTTAGGTATCTTGAAGAATCAGATCAAGATTATTAAAGATGAAAATTAGCTGGAGAAAAACATGCAGAATGCTTACAGAAAAAAGCCAGGGTAGTTACAAATACACCTGTAGTTTTTGAAATCACAAGGAACTGAACTTCAGTTTAAATATTTCTTTTTCTAATTGAACTTCTAATTCAGATGCATGTAAAGATTATAGCCTAGATTTTTTTACAAAGAGAATATAGGACCTTAACCCACAGTGCCTGAGACATAGCACAGTCTGAAATTTAGAGCAGAAACTCTGACAGCAGCAATTCTGATAATGTTTCTTCTCATTTCTCCTCCTGACTCTTGCCCAGTTCTTTAAACTACACTTCATCACTGTCACAGGGATGTGCTTTTTATATTGTTCCCACCTGTTCCTATTGACTACTAGCCCTCTCAGAGGGTAATAGCTGGAGTAGACAAACACAGCACTCTCAGGAACAATGGGCAGGTTTGAAGAACACACCAAACCACAAGCAGCAGCCTGAGAAATGCTTTGACAGCCACGAGTGGCAGAATAAGAGGTAATTGTTATGGACAGAGCCACAAAATGGGTTGTTGAGAAAACCACAGTCAGAACACTTCCTTCCCAATAGCAATGCCAAGCTAGTGAACTTTTCTCAAGGATTCTTTCCCACAATGTCATTTTTATGTGTCTGGTTAAAATGCTGTTATAATACAGGCAGTGCTGTCTTTTTTGTGCAGCAAGCCAGGAGGCCAAACATGTTGATGAAGAAGCAGATGAGCACATGGACTGTTTGTATGTACCTCAAGTAAGAAAAACCTTTCTTGTGTCATGAGTAAGAAGTTTATTTAGAATAGTCTAAGTATTTTGACATACTTGATTCAGTTGGCAAGAAACTGTTAAAGTGTCAATTGGTGCATAACATTTTCACTAATGTGAGCTGGTGAATTGTTTTGGAAAAAGTCTGCATTTAAAATTCATTTCTTGCACAGAACTATAAATAAACAGGCTCAGTGCTGGCTCCACTGAGAACATATTTACAGTTAAAAGGACTAATGGTATTTTGGGAAATGTTGTATGTTACAAACATCATTGTTTATTTCTTTTTAACAGGATGTGCACACAGGTTTTAAGCCAAATGAAGATAATCCTGCCACAGAAGAAGAAAGTGCAGAACCTTTGTTAAGAGCACCTAAAACACCTGACTTAAAGGGGAAAAACCCACACTTCTCAAAAACACCTCTATTTGACCCGTATGATTTCAGCTTTTATTTTGATTCTGAGCAAAAATTTGTACTCACAATTATTGTATAAGCATTTCTGCTCCTTTTTGAAAGATAGTAGTGAAATAATTTTCTAGAAAGCTCTTCTAAAAATATTTAGAATTTTTCCTGAGTTATGCTTGATATTTATTAAGTTTTCTTCCTACAGTATCATTTCCAGTTGAAGCTGTTTTGAAAGATCAGTACTTTGCTTAGAAATATATTATACACATTGTCTTTTCCTGCAGTAATATTTGTCACTTTGATTTCAATCTTTAATAGGCTTTTAGGTGTTTTTTTTTTGTTAAGAGGGCAGGGAGTTTGTAAGAACATCACCTCCCATTACTTTAAATAATTGTGTTATCTGTTCTGTGATGCAAAAAACAATTATTGATGAAAGCTATGGGGATGTAAAACAATGAAAAAAGAGGAAAAGGAAAAAATAGAGGGGAAAAAGCCATCTACACCACTTAAAAAGCTATTAATATAGTTTCTACATTTCTGTATTTACAGCATTCAAAATTTAGATTGTGAAGAAGGAACATCAAAATCTCCTGCTTTCTTTTCTCACATGAACTTCACCCAGAAGTCACCTGGCTTCAATTTATTTGATTCTTCTCTGTTTGGAGCACAAAATTCATCTGATGAGGTAAAAAAATGATTAATTGTGAACATTACATTTCCACAAAGCAAATATTGTGAACAAAACAGCATTGACACTGAATGAGATTTTTCAGACTGGTTATCTTTGCAGCAAACATTTTTTTAATGTCTAGGTTATGAATCTCTCTCACATGGATCATGTACAAATATACAGTGACTCAATTCACCAAAAGGCTTCTGGTTCGGTGTTACAGTGCAAAATTCAAGTCCGCTAGCAGAATGCACAACTCACATGCTTCTCCTGTGTGGTTTTGTCTTGAAGTGAAGAACAGTGAGAAGGGAAGAAAGGAGAGTCTATCAGGGTTACTGAACAGCAAAAATGGATTAGCCATACTCAAATGGAGGAGCTAGGCAGGCAATTAAATGGAGCAGGGAATGGAAACCAGGTCGTCCATTTTCTTTGCAGTGCTGTAGAGTAATTTTTCCTCTCCTGGGCTCTTAGGTAGATAACTGGGGATCCAGGATAGATGCATAGAACAGGGCTTAGCATGGCCTGTGTGTAGGAGAGAACACACTGGTGTGTGGTTTGTGCATTGTTTAGGAATGAGGTGGATTTAAAATCACCCAGTGCTCTCAGAACCCACATTATGTTGTGCCTGCTCAACAGCAGAAACCAAGAATTTACCAGGCTGTAGCAGATCTGGGATTCTTTAAAGTTAAATGGGAGTTTTGAACAATTCCAGCATCTATTTTAAATCTAAGAACTCATTTTAAGAGTGACAAGTGATTATCCTGCTACTCTTTCTGGCAATATGAGGTTCTATTCAGTAGGAAGTATTTGTGTTGTTGCTTGGAGATTTTAGAAAATGTCACAATTTGAATAGTTTTGAATAGTTTTGGTTTAAAAAATCAGTATTAAGTTAGGTTAGCTTTTGGACTGTTATCAGTCTGGTATTTTCCTAGAAGAATGGAGGAAGAACGTTTGCAGCTGCATGTAAATATCATAAAACTCCTTTGGACAAAGAACTTGCCTTGCAACTTTAGGGACTGATAAATACCTTTAAATCCAGATTTTGTAAAGCTGCTAAATTCACCGAGACAGTGTTTTTCTCACAAAAAAGCACATACATATCAGCAATAAAGTTTACTTTTGCCTTTCTCATTTGTTAAATAAAAAATCTGTTTACATTTCAGACAGAGGAAAATTATCCTATGGGAAACCTGAACTCTCTGTCCTCACATGAAGATATTGGTAAGTCTGAAACTCAGATGTACTTGTGTATATCAGCTCTTTTCTGCTTGTGCTCCCATGACTGACAGGCTCATGATCCAGCTTAACAGAGCTCCTTTGGTTGTCTGGAAGGATGTTCAGCTGTGATAATGTAGCTCAGGGGTTTATTGTGCTCATTTGTGTTTTAACTAAACCTTTATGTTTAGTTAAAGCCCAACCCTTGCATGTTGGGCTCTAAACATCTGATGGATCATGGAAAAGAAGAGGTATGAGAAAGAAAGAAATAGGGATAGTGTTAGGTGTGTTTGAAGCAAAATGAGAGGATTTGCAAGGGAGAGGACAAAGTCCAAGTATTTCAATGAGTCATCACATTTTTCTCTAAATAAACACTTTTGCAGATTCTATTTACAAACACCTCTGTTGCAAAATGTATCATGCAGAAGTGTTCTGTTATTCTAAACCCTTCAAGTGCTCCACACTTTATCCCATGTCAGTTCTAATAACAACTCCCTGGAAATATCATCTCTGGTGGAGCAATACACTCAAAACTGTAGGGTGATTCTCAGTGGGATATTTGGCACAATATGTCAATAAAGAAGCATGAGCTGAATGCAGTGTTCACTCAGATTTAATCTAATAACAAATATTATCTGTATTCCATATAGGAAGCTTCTTTGGGAAACCAGAAAATGAGGATGCATTTGCCTTTCCCTCCCCCTCGGAATCAACTTCTCATGCATTTGGAGATGGAAAAGATGATGTTAGTTTTTCATTTGCATTTGGACAGGATCAGAGATCACCACAGTCTCCTTCTATGAAAGGTTTTCATTCTTCCACACAAAATACAAAGCCATTTACATTCTTTTGAATACCTTTGACTTCCTTTAAATTATTTTCCTACTTAGCCTTGACAAATGTTTCCAGTTTCTTGAGTTAAAGTACAAAGCATTTCTTCTCCTTCCATTTCTTGTAAGAATACATAATTGCAATTGCTGCAAAGTGACATCATCAACCCCACATTCTGAGATTTTCTTACTTATCTTAGAAATGTATTTGTTCATAAACTGTTATTATATGCTCTTGCTAAATTGGCACTCACAAACACAAATATCATTTTAGGGTGGTGTGTTAAGTCAATATCTGTGAGAACATTCAGCTTCTGATATAAACTTGTGTTTTCTTATATAATTACTTATGTTATTAAGAATGACTGTTGTAGCAGTTAAAGCTGAATTTGAATTAAAGACAATGTTCTTGAGTATTCTGTGTATAACAGCTGATTCATAAAATATTTGAAATAAACATTTTTATTACTGTTATGTTAAAGTTTTGTAGGTATTTCTTAATATCTGAAGTGGAACAATGATGCAATTGTAATACTTAACATTTCATTCCCTTTCCCCTCTCCTTTTTTCCTTTTCTTTTTCCTTTTCCTTTTCCTTTTCCTTTTCCTTTTCCTTTTCCTTTTCCTCTTTGCTTTTCCTTTTCCTTTTTCCTTTTCCTCTTACAAAACCCCAAGGGGAGCAGAGTCCCTTTCCCTCTGCTGCCCTGCAAACCCCTTAATGACCAAAAGCTTGATAATCTATGCTGCTGTTTCTTTTATGCCAATCTCCTAAATTTTAGGCCTAGAGATTTGTGAAAATTTGATTTTTTTAAACTGGAAGTGAATCAGGAAGTTTTAGTGAAATCCTACTGAGGTCTAGCTACCAAGAAGTGAGACAATTTTTCTAATTTCCTGCATACCTGTCAATCTGAAAAACCCAAGGTAGAGGCAGGTTTGATTCTCTACCTTTTATTTTACACTGCTGATAAATATTCTGAGATTATTTAGAAACATAAACGTTTGATGTTGTTTGCTCAGTTATTCCATAACCAAAGACCTTTCCTGATGAGTTCTGTTATCCATGCCTAAGATGTTACAGGGTACAGAAGGCAAGGCTGCAGTGGGAGAAGTAGGAGAAACCAGAGTCCTAGGTCTGATGCAAATTGGATAGGCTGATTAATAGCAAAGCAGAGAAAGCTGCTTCAGAAGAGGCAACCTCTCAGCATTTGGGATACTCTTCTGAGGCCTAAGACCATGAGCTGCTTATACACACTGGGATTTTTTCATTGGAGCCTGTCAAATTCCACCTAGAAATGATCCCTGGATATGCCTATAAATCAACAGCAGTTGTGTTGATGGGTTGCTGACACTGGTACACCTCTCACTGCCCAGTGTCATTTTGGTTTGCCCTTTACACACCCATCCATTACATTTTACACCCATTTCTAGCCTGAAAGCTGAGTGGAGAGAGATCCCCTTGTCAGTGTAGCAGGGGCTGCTGTAGAGCAAATCCCAGGTGCTGCAGGTATCCCACACGTGAGCAGCTGGGCTGGAGCCCAGGAAGCTGCAGAAGCAGCAGCAGCTGGGAGCTGTAATCCCTCCAAAGCTGTGCAGCTGTCAGCAAAGTGACAATATGGTGACACTGTGCATGGTGCTGGCAGTCCTTGCAGGTGGGGGAGCCTTTTTGTTCCCTCCTTGGACTGCACCGAGTAAAACAGAGTTCAGGCTCACAGCCAAGCCCAAAGGTACTAACAGCAAAAACCCCTCTTGAATAAGCAGGGCAGGATTTGGACTTTGAATCTCATAAGAGTATCCTAACCAGAAGGTAAATGTTTATTTAGAGCCCTGGTATCTTTGCTGTTCCACTTAGGTTTTAATGATGTTTTTGACAGAAAACCACTTCACTTAAAATATTGCTTGTAAAAGCTAATGTGCCACACTCCATTAGGTTAAATAAATATTATAATAAATATTTTGTGCCACCAACCTTGTGGGAAATACAATGATACCTGAATAAATAAATTTTTGAATTTGTTGAGTAAAAAACTTTGAAGAAGTTTACTAACAAAATTTCCACTCTGATCTGCTGCTGTGCTGAGGAAGACATGGATGCCTCAATTTTCTTTCTCCCACAGAAAGAATAGGTATATGGAAATGTCCTTTTTCTGATTAGAAATAACATAGAGAGCATTTCTACACATCTGCCTTGTTCTGTAAAGTGGTCTTCCAGTAAAAAAATGATTTTAATTTCCAAAGTAGCCTAACATCTGGAGCACCATCTGCTATTTTACTGATATGTAAATGTAAAGCATGTTTATAAACAGTTAGGGATATTTGGCTGATAAATAAGCAACTGCTGGATAAGTTTGACTCTAAAAGATTAATTTAGAAACTATGAGGTAAAGACTATTGTAATGACTTCCAGGGGTTGTGGAATATAATATTTATTTTCATGTACTGCTGTTTTATGTCTTCAGACACCACTTTTAATAGGAAATAAGGCATTCAGCAAGCTGTTCTCACTCAAAAATCAAGTTTCATGTTCAGAGCAATTTATGAATTTTCTGTAACTTCAGTCCAAGAATATCAATCTAAAGTGCATATACACAGCATAACACTCTGCAGGACAAATTTTGCTGTCCTTTTATGTATAATGCTTAAGGTGATAAAACCACAAGAGTTATTTATATTTTATATCAGAAAAAGTGGATGAATAGGGCAACTGAGAGTGTTAAAATTGTCTCTTAACCACACTGAATTGTCAATGGCAATGTGTGAATACTTTGAGGAAAACAAAAAGTTTATGTCATGATAATGTAGGGTCATTTAATTGCTCGCTGATTAACAAGAGCAACCAGAATTCTGAGTTGGAAAAACTGCAATGGTACAAATGGTACAAACCTGGAGTTACAACCCACAGAGTAGATCAGAGAATGTTGTATAGAATAGTGGCTTTATTTCTAACTACCTCTTAAACTACAGCACTGAACCCCATAGAAATCCTCTCCATCATTTCATCCCCAGTCTGGGCTCTGTGCAATGAAAAAAATAGTTGAAATTTTTCATTTCAAGACCATGAACATAATTAAAACTTTGTGTTGGCAGTAACAGGACATCTCTGCATGTTTGTGTGTAAATGCAGGCTTTGGGGGCAGGAGCAGGTGAATCACTGCATCCTAAGAAAACAATCTTACACTACAGCATTAATTCGTTTAAGTATTTGAAGGAAATAAGCTTTAAGTGCTACATATTGTAACAGATTGGAATGTGTAGACTTACAGTATTAGATGGTCATAATCCCCCCAGTGCAAGGCTGATTGCAGGGGTAGCAAGAGTTGGCTAATCCTTTTGGACCAATGGCATAAAACAAGGATTAGTTTTTCATTTACTGCAACTGAGTGGGTCATTAGGATCCAAAGACACTAATGAGCCTGAACAGGCAATTGGATTCTGGTTTCAAAGTTATGGGCCAGTTTGAAAGGAGATTGATTGTGTCTTTTAATGATTTAAAACATGATGTTTCGGTGACCTTTTGCCTGAGAAAAATGAATGAAGGACGTAACGGTGGAACACAAACCTGGAATGCTGACTTTTTTCCTCCTGAGACTTGAGTTGTTGCCAGACTCGTTGCCTTAGAGGCTGAATGGCTCATTTAGAAATATCTCTGTTGCCTTGCTTTTATGTTCTGCTCTTGATGTCTCCAGAGTTGACACAAGTCACATGCGATCAAGTCTGTATTCCTGGTGGACAGGCACTGTCCTAATATTCTCTGACTCACACCCAGGTTGTTTGCAGCTCAGCAGTTCTGCTTCCAGACACATCACTTTGTGTTCTGATGCTAACATCTTGCTGAGAAATTGCCTCTTGGCACGTTGTTTCTTGGATCCTGTACCTTGCTTGATTTGATGTGAAGATGATGCTCTTTTTAGCACTTGCAACACATTACCTTTGGAAAGGTAAATCTTTGCCCCCACCTTGCTACATCCCACAATTTTTTCTTTTCAGGAATCACTTGAATTCAGCAGTAATAGGTAGCTTCTATTTGGTTTCATTCAAATTAAGCAAGGGTATGAAAGAAATATCAAAAGATGCTGATGCCATGCTAATAGAATGTTTAGACATACACAAAAGGAAAATACTTTGACTGTTATGACTCCATAGGAGAAATAGTGTCTAAAATTTTAATAACATGGACTTCATTTTCTGTATCATACCACAGTCCACAAAGCATCCATAAAATTATTTCATACAGCACAGGACTTGATCCATAATCCTTTGAGGCTTGGCTTGGGGAAGGGAAAGAAGCAGAAGAACAAGTACAAAAAGTTCTTGCTAGTGGGGAACCAGCTGCTCTGACTGGTGGGAAGCTTGGAACATGACAGTCCAGACTGAAACTCAGTTTTGAGCCTGCAGTTCTCATCCGCTCCCTTCTGCCAGAGCAGGACTGCCTTGAGCTAAGTGTGGTCTCTTGCTGCTCTCTTCTTTTTCTTGAGGCACATGTGTGGCAAGTTTTAACTGTTTCCACAAAATTCCTCATTCTGTGGTCAGTGATGTTGCTCACTGCCACAGCTGCAAAGGGCTCCTGACCAGAAGTTATGGGTAAAAAGTGGTTAAAAATGTTTCTTAACAATTACAAAACCCCAGAAGTGCTGTTTCCACTGCATTTCAGGGAAGTGCCAAGCCTCTGAAGCACTCTAGCCATTACCCAAGCTGAACAACACAATTTCAAATTGTGCTACATGGACTTCAAAAATCCCTGGGCACAATGCATTCTTGAAGGTGACTTTTTCCTTGGGAATGAACACCACCACTCGTGTATCTCACTGTACATACACTGAAGGAGTTATCATGGGCAGCTGCTTGTTTATTTTTCACCCTCACAGTTAGAAAAGGCTCTGCCGGTTGTTACCAGTGTGATCTTTAGTGAGGAGGTGTTTAACCAAGGCCTGAGCGCCTCTGCTCAGTGCAGACCCAGTGTTCCACTGCTGCTGTTTTGCTGAAGGACAGTGATGCAGATCCATGGTTCTTTGACTTTTTAAAAGTTT